TGGTTATAAGGAGTGGTGAGTTTGGGGGATCCATCTTCCAGAGGCCAGGCTTCTCACCACAATTTCTGTCTCTATTGGGAGGTACATACCCAGTTCACTGGAAACAGTTGATCAACAGGAAGGAAGACCTGAGCTTCCTGGCAAAAATACTTGCACAAGAGAATTCTAAAGCCAATCTGGCCCCAGGTCGTGCTAAGATACCAGCAATATTTACCCTTCATGGAACGGTTACTGGGTGCCAGGCACTACGCTACACCCTTTACAAACACTGAGTATTACACACACACACCCGATCGTTAAATCTCCTTGTCCTGCTTTCTTTTCTTCTCAGCACTAACCCCTGTCTGATGATCTTATATATTTTATTTTCTTATGTCTCCCCAACTAGAATATAAGCTCAATGAGAATGGGTACCTTGTCTTTCTTATTCCTTGGTGTATCCACAGCTCCTAGAACATTAAGCAGTATGTGGCAAGACCCCAACTATGTGTGGATGAATAAATGATAAAACCTGAAAACAATTCTATGTGAGGTATGATTGCTTCCATTTTCAAGATAAGGAAGCTGAGGTCCGGAGAGAAAACTGACTTGCTCAAGGCCATAAAACAACCATGGGCAGAGCTAGACTATAAATCTGGGTGTAACAATTTCTAAAGTTGGACCTCGTGGACTATATTTCTCTATACCACTTGACATTGGCAAGGCTGAAAGCTGGCCTTTCCTGGAGTGCCAATCTTTCCAACTCCCAGCTCACTGCCTTCACGTCAGTGGCCTCATGATTTGTTATGGAAATCAGCAAAGTGCTATCAGCCAGCCTTCCTCTTTTGGAGAGCTGGTCTACCAGCTCATCTCTGGCTATCTGATCCAAATGTGTTCTGCTAGTTTTGTTGATTGACTCTTACTAATCCTTAAATTCTCAGAGAACCCCTTCTTTCTCCTGGTCCTCTTTCCCTAAATCCACCGTTTTAATGCCCAGAAGAGGAGCAGGCCGTCCTCTAGGGCGGGAAGGAAAGCTGCAATTCTCCTGGTGGGCTCTTTTTTAGACTTAAGGCCCCAACATTATCTGGGTCTTTCCACCTAATTGGTCCTTACTCCTCACAGACTGACACCCTGAAAGCCCAGGGCAATCTACCACCCATGAAAAGCTCTTCCCAGGGTGATTTGTGGAGATGTGAGTCCTCCCTTCCCCGCGTGCCTCCTCTTTCCTCATTAACCTTTCAGAACTATAATTATCAAGGAAACGGAGGGTGCCTGGTACGTTTCCCTTCTCATGCCTCTCTTCTAGCTTGGACTGGGGGTTTGTGTCCACCCAAGAGCTCCGAGAAATTCTTGGGCACAATTCAAAGAGATGGCAGGTGGTGTCTGATCATGGGACCCCCACCTTATCACAGAACCCCCCCACCCTCCCAACCCCATGGGAGGGCTAAGCTGCTTGTAAGCCAGGGTGGCAACAAATCTTTCAAGAGGCTGTTTGAAAATGCTTTATGGCACGTAGGGTTATAAGGCTCTAGCTGAACAAATGGAAAAATTAGTCTACCTTAAAATATCCAAGGCAAGTAATTTCCTATCACCTTGTTTCTTAAATGTACTTAACATCTAGAATCTGGGCTTCCCAAAATATGGATAAGGGTCATGAGTTAAAATGGCAACTTGGAGATAAAAATCTCCTGCTTTAACAGGCACTCATAAAATGATGCCATTGGCCCTCCTGTTTGGAATGGGGTGGGTTGGGCGGGGGTAGTCAGGAGTCCAACAACAGCAGTTTCTAAGTGTTCTTGAATTTCACAGGCTTGAGGCAGCCTATGAGCAGGGCTCTTACCCTGAGTCCACCAAGGCTCAGCCTCAGACACTCTGCTCTCTCCACAAGGGCTTCCCAAGGTCTCATACTGGGGGGTTTGCTTTGGTTTTGCTTTTTCTTACATGAAAGTTTGCTTTTCTAGCTCCTTTCTCCAAATTTCAAAACTACTTCTCGGCCTGTGAATGGAGTTACTGGTGACAACCACAGCTTCTTTTCTCAGTCTGCTTATTTTCTGTATTCTTTGTCCTTTTTGTTCTCCTCTTCCTCTTTCTTTTTTTTTTTTTTTAAGATTTTATTTTTATTTATTTGAGAGAGAGAATGAGAGACAGAGAGCATGAGAGGGAGGAGGGTCAGAGGGAGAAGCAGACTCCCTGCCGAGCAGGGAGCCCGATGCGGGACTCGATCCCAGGACTCCAGGATCATGACCTGAGCCGAAGGCAGTCACCCAACCAACTGAGCCACCCAGGCGCCCCTCCTCTTCCTCTTTCTTGAACCTTTTTGCTCTTCTTTTCCTTCTCTTCGTTCATTCGGTTTATTCATTCACTCATTCATTTATTCCATTCCATTCCTTCAATAAAGATTTATTAAGTAATGTTTATGTACCAGGAACTAAGAGTGCTAATTCCTAGCAATAAAGCAGTACACCAGTCAGGAATTTCACCTACAAAGAGCTTACTCTTTGGGGGCAAGGGTGCCATAAAGTGTAGGCAAAGGGGAAAGAGCAGAGCACTGTGGGCATGCACAGGACCTGCCCTAAGAGTTGAAGAAGGCTACATTTGACCTAAGATCAGATGAGCAAGAGTTGGAGAGAGAAGTAAAGGGGAAGAGTATCCCAGACAGAGCCAACAGCAGGTGCAAAGGCCCTGAGGCACAAGGCAATATAGCTCAGCAAAAGGGCTGAAATTAGTGCTGTGACACTGAAGCATGAGGTGACTAGTGGCAAGAGACATGGCTGGAGAAATCAGTAAGAGGACAGATACTGGGGGGCCTAGCCCACCATGGCAAGGAGGTTGGACTGGATTTGGAAGGTGATAAAAAGGTTGGAGCAGCGAGTGACATAATGAATAAAAAAAAAAAAAAAAATGAAGGGTTAACCCATTCTTCACCACACACCAAGGAACAGTGGCCTCTGAGTTTCCCAAGATGCCTGGTGTCATTATCGAATGAGTAATCTGGCCCTAATGTTGACGACCGGGGGTGGGGGTGGGGGGAGGGTGGCTATGACTCACAGGGATCTGAAAATAAATCAGCCCTATAACTATAGATGCAAATGAGAATAAACGGATTCTCTGGGGCTCACTGCAGTTGGTCTTTTTTGAGGAGGCAAGGCTGGATACTGAGATACGGGGTCTGCTGAACAGTATAACATCTTCCCCGTACCTTTTGGCAGACGAATTGCTTCACAGACCGTGAATATGAGTCACTAAATTCTAAACCTTGGGCAAGAAAACAAAGTTTGATAAATGTGTCCAGCTATTGGAATAAAGACCCAGAGCACAAACAAATCAAGAATTCAGACTGTGCCAACACACAAGGAGCCCCAGACCTGTGCTTAGTGTGACACGTGCATATACACACTCACACATGCACACACATTCACATACACACACGCCCTCCCTTTCCTTGAAGTATCAGTTGCGAACGTCGATTCCTAATATACCCCATGTCCAAAAGGTGACAAAATTAAAAGTGACCAAAAGATGAGGTAGAAGTTCATTCTGGAAAGTTGGGGAAGGGGTAGCTCATTTAAGAGGGGAAAAAAAAAGAAATAAGAAAAAAAAAATCAGTCAATCAAGAACCATGAATCCAAAACCCACATCTTCTTCAAAATGTTCTAGTATTCTGTGGATTTATTATATCTCCAAAATTCCTGTAGTATTTTTTATGGGTTTAAAGGAAACTACTACACACATCTCATTTTATTCTCTAAAAAACCTTGAGGAAGTGACTAAGAAGGTCTGGCCTTTAATTATGGACCAAACACCTAGGATACAGAACTTAAAATCCTTGTAATGGTGCATAAAACCACACCAGAGGCCTGATTAGCTTGTCCAGTGTTAATTAGAACCCTTCTTAGGCATTCTCTCCCACCGCCTACTTCATGACCCGGAATAGTCAAGCCTAATTTTTCAAATATATGTTAAATCCAAGAGGCTTTAAAAAAATGTAAAGGCAGATTAAGTGCAGAAGAGGCTATGCAGGAAGACCTTGCAGTTGGTCCTCAGACTGAGCCTCTCCAACCAGCAGTAGCAGAAAATCCTCTCTGATCTTTTGTTATGCAAGACGTCTCTGGATAACCCAGACTCTTGCATGCATTTTTTAAAGAGCCAGCATCTTTCAAAATGGCGCCTTCCAATAACCAACAACTCCCAGAAACAGTGAACGTCACCATCATTTGTCAAGAAAATTTGGTAACATTTAAAAGACGTTTCCCAAGAAAGGACCTCCTCCCTGCCATGGAGTTTTCTTGAGTCAACCCCAATGCCCATTTCTGTCAGGAAAGCTGCCTCTGGTGAGGAGTTGAAAATGAATCTATTGTGGCAAAACAGAAATTTTTTTGGTGGGGGGGACAGAATTAAACTTTGATAGTTTTTCTTCCTTTTCTCAATTGTACTTTTGTTCATAGCTTCAGCTGGGAGAAAGAGCACACATTTAGTTTAGAGTTTATGAGTTCATATTTTATAATTAACGTTGCCAACAGGGGAGTTTGATTAATACCACACAGTGGATTTTGAGCACTGTTCCATACAAATTGCCAAATTTAGCAATAAAATAAATTGGTTATGTGAACATAATTAGTGGGATGACTACTTAAAATTCAAAACTGAATGTGAATAATTTCAAATCATCTGAGCCACAAATCCATTATTTGTAGAGAAGGAGGAAAGTATAGCATTTTGGGTTTTATTTTGCCCTCAACCGCAAAGTTATTCACCACCAAGCTAAACATAATGAAACTCCCACAATGAGTTGTGGCAACATTTTAGAACAACCCAGAAGCACGCACATACGCATGCGCGCACACACAAAGGGAATGTCATAAAGATAAGAAATGTTAAACTGTGAATTTTCATTGCAAATGTAAAAATCTATAACAAATTTTTCAACAAATGCAGCATTACATTTTTCTGATGTGCTATACCTAAACCTCTAAGCGCACAATTACACAGCAGAGCTTTTTCCCTTTAAATATTCACGGTACCTTATTGTCGCCCTGGACTTCTGCAAGCCTTTGCTGAAGTTCTTTAATTTCTTCTCCCAGATGTTTATTTCGGTCCTGAGAATCTCTCAGTAGTTGTGCAAGATTAGCCTGGAAATGTCAACATATTATGGAATACAATCAGAAACACAGGAGCGGATAAGTGTGGGGCTTTGTTAGACTTTCAGAGGCTGGCATCCAGGCCGAGTGGAGCCACGCAAAGCCCATTAGATCAATGCATACACGAGCGTAGCAAGTGTGCAAATCACACCACAACAACTGCATGGAGGGGAATCAGTGCTGGCTGTGAACCTCAGCACGGGAATGTTCTTTGTTTCCAGAAGGGCTCACAGACAAGTAGCGGAGCAATCAGTCGTATTCGACTTTTTAGAAAACTAATGTTAGGGGCTCCACACTAAAAATCTTGCAAGTGGATGTAGAGTTCAGTTCTAAAATTTGAGCCAACAATACAGGAAAAAGCTTCATTTCCTCGTTTAGATAGTTTTCTTCCCCTTCAAACAGAACTGGTTTAGTGAGCTTTGCTTTGCTACCTCAATGCCCAGAATTTCAATCACGAGATGAGGCAGCCAGAGAGGGGATGAGGAATGAGCCACCACTTCAGAAATCAGGGTCCAGAGGTAATCCAACAGTCTCCTGGGCTGGTTTTTTCACCTCCTTATTCCCCTCTTCTGGTCCCCCGGTATCAGGACCATTCACCCGCTGGTCCTGGCTTCACGACGTCATCGCTTCTGTAGGGGGTGCCTCCTGCTTGGACCCAAACCCCTCTGGCCCATGTGGACCACTCTCCATGCACCAGCCTCCCCTTCTCAAGCCAGCTGCACCTCCTGCCATCACTGCCCCCTCTCCCAGAGCATGTGAGCACTTCTTAACCACGCTCCCACCCCTTTCACGGGTGCCCTGAGCCTGGAAATGCAGTCACGTGGCTGCTTGTTGTACAGCCCTGTTTGTATTTTGCTAGCTGCCACTTGCTCTGGGTCTCGCCTTGCTAGTTGCCTTCTTCTCTAACCTCGGCGAGAAGACTGCAAGCTACAGAAAGGCAGAGATTCTGTTCTCTCCTTCCTCGGCATGCGTATCTGTTGCTCCAGGAAGGGCTCGTGTTCCAGCAAATGTTTTAAAGACTCATGATGAATAAATGAATGAAGGAAGGAGGGAGAGAAGCAAGCAAGCCATGAGAATATGGCCTTTGGGGAACCATTCGGAAATAGTTGTACAGGGGATTTTTAAGATTATCTTGAAGATTCCTTTCATGTCATAGCTGAAGAAACCCAAGTCCAGAGGCATTAGGGGACTAGTCTAAGTGCAGTGGCCAAATCTCCAAAGACCTCAATGCTCATACTTTTGGGAGCACTCCTTGGCTGGCTCAGTCAGTACATTCAACTCTTGATCTCAGGGTCATGAGTTCAAGCCACACATGGTGCGTGGAGCCTACTTTAAAAAAAAAATAAAGAATTTTTTAAATGCTAATACTCTTGGGAATACTCAATGATGTCAGGTACTAAAAAAGGAATGAAGGTGAAAGAATAAAAAAGTTAAACCTTGGCTTGGCTCATCCCCGACTCTGCACTCTGTCTCATCTCCCATGTCCCATCTGTTGGGGTATCAGGTTGTCTCTACCCTCAGGTTCTTCCCTACTCCAGTTCAGCTCCCCCCAGGTTTACTTCCTCGCTGTTCCCCAAGCATACCAAGCATCCTCCCATCCCAGTGCTGTTGTTCTATACTCTCTCGTGGGAATGCTCTCCCTCCAGAATACCTCTTGGCTTCCTCCCCCTCTTACCTTCTTCAGGCCTTTGTGCAAAAGCCACAGTCTCAACAGGGCCCACCTGGACCACTCAAGCTAACACTGCAACCTGCTCACCTCCACCCTGATCTTCCAAGCCCCTTCCTAATTTTTTTTCTTTTGTAGCCCATGACACCTAATTTTAAGATACCATGTAATTTATTTCATGGCCTACTGCTTACTACTTATTTCCTGCCTCCCTCTCTCTACAAAAATAGAAGTTCCATGAAGGGCGAAGAACTTTGTTCTCTCTATGGATCTGCCCCAAGCACCTAGTAGATGCTCCATAAATATTTTCTAAATGAGAGACAATATGCTGAGTCTGGAGGTTATGGTCTCAGCCTAGGGAAGAATATGGAATATTAACAATATGTACCAACACTGAAGTCAGTGCTGGGCACAGAGTCTTGTGTGGAAACCTGACTCATCCCCACTGGCTGGATTTAACCAAGCCCCGTATTACTCAACAATGCAATCTAATTTTCAACCTCATATGTGCAAGGTTCATATTTTAGAATAGTTGTATTCTGATTTTCCCAGATTTCTGTTCTTATCAGATAAAATTTGGTGAAGGATGCAGAAAATTAATTCCCACCTTACACTTAAAAAAGGAAATCAGATCAATTAAGCTGGATCCCAGTTCTGCCACTTACAGGGCTGGGTGACCATGGGTGAATTCCTCAACCTCCTGAGTGTCCCCATCCGTAAATGCAGCTAACCACATGTACTTCATGTGGTGATGTGATACCTAAACTGAATAATGAATGAACATAGGACACCTACCACAGTGCTTGGTATGCAGTAGGTGCTGGTTAAAGGGTTGGTTAGCTCCTCTTGACTGTGTCCTTCCAGTGGCCCCAACTCAACCACTCAGTGAACAGTTGGGTAGACATGGCCGAATGCCTCCTTGGACACAATTGGCTCTTTCATGATCCTGCCCCTTCACTGTTCTTTACTCATCCGTTCGCTTATGCAACAAATATTTATTGAGCACCTACCATGTGCCAGGCACTGTTTTAGACTCTGGAGATACAGCAGGGAGCAATACTGTCAAAATGCCTTGCCCTTGTAAACTCACATTTGAATAGATGATATTACATTAGTTACATTATTTTGCCATAAAGTGTAGAATGATCCAGTGGTTGGATGATGAGAAAAATGAAGTGGGCAAAGGGAACAGAGTGTGTCCAAGGAAAGGACCACATTTAAACCAAGATTTAAAAAAGCAGAGAGAGCCGGCATGAGCCTTGTGGATGGGAGGGGGGCAAGTTCCAGATAGGGGAAAAGGCACCCAGCTTCCCTCGCTCCCTCTCCTGTCACATCACACGATTCCCGATTTCTGTTCTGGAGCGCAGTTCAAGGACACAAGACCAGGGACCGCAGTGCAGTGATAATTCAACTCTTGTCTTCGCTTTCCCAGTTCCTCCCCTCCATCTGCAGCTCTCCTTCCTTAGCACATGGTAGCCCAAGTGGGCTGCCTCTGCTTTCTCGCTACGGAACCCCAGAATATTTCCCAGACATTAGCTCAGCAAACATAATCCCTCCCTCACAGACCAGAGGGACTGGCCCCACGGAGGGGCGGGAAAGCAGCAGTTCAGCACCCCTCTGCAGGAGACACAGCCAAATTCTGCTTCACGGCGCCTGCCTCGTCCTAACCAGCGGAAGGGGCGCTCAGGAACAAATGCTTCTAAGAGTGACAGTGAAGGGGATCAAGAGGATGCTTGCCATGACCGGCGCGGAGTAATGTATAGAGTTGTGGAATCACTCCTATACACCTGAAACTAATATAACACTGCATGTAAACTATACTGGAATTAAAATTAAAATTTTAAAAAGAGTACCACCAGTGGAAACTTAATAGAAGACACCCCTCCACGAAATATCTGCAATGTCCTTAATCTTTCCTTTTTTTTTTTTAAGATTTTATTTATTTATTTGAGAGAGAGAGAGAGCGAGCACGAGCAGGGAGAGAGAGAGGGAGAAGCAGGCTCCTGGCTGAGCAGGGAGCCCGACGCGGGGCTCGATCCCAGGACCTTGGGATCATGATTTGAGCCGAAGGCAGACACTTAACAGACTGAGCCACCCAGGAGCCTCAATCTTTCCTCTTTGAATCAACAGTGGCTTGAGCCCCTCAGGTAGTGGGAAGACCTGATGTTCACTCACCAGCCTCAAGTAGTAGCTAAACGAGTACAACTTGATCTGTCAGTGGGGAAGGGCTGGTTTTCTACCTCCAACCCGGCACGGAGTAGAACTTTTGTAAAATACAATAAAAATCAATTTCTAGAAAAATGAATTTGGGTGCCTGGGTGGCTCAGTTGGTTAAGCATCTGCCTTTGGCTCGGGTCATGATCCCGGGGTCCTGGCATCGAGTCCCATGTTGGGCTCCCTGCTCAGCAAGGAGTCTGCTTCTCATTCTCCCTCTCCTCTGTGTCCTCTCTCTCTCTCTCAATAAATAAATAAAATCTTTTAAAAAATGAATTTAAAGTGACATCAGGATAAAAACCCCAAGTGTTTGGTAGAGTCAACAGACATAAAATCATGCTGTCAAATTGCCACAGAAGTTTCTGAACACTTCTTCAATTTCTGTGTTTATCGTGGACCAGAAGCCAGTAGCCCGCCCCCTGGCATGGTCCTTGGGCCTCGCTTTGAAAAGCACCAAGCTCAACGTGCTCCCAGGGACTTGACTATTAGCGCAGGGCAGGTACCCTGTATACACATCAAAGGTTCCAGTGCTACGTGAAGCAGAGGACAGAGCTGCTTCAGGAAACAACGATTTCTGGAGCCAGCGATGTGACTGCCAACCATTATTTACTCGGCAGCCAGCTGAAAAGAATTCTACCAAAATAAAGCCAGGCATTTGTATACTAGCCGCAGAATGGTGGTCAATTAGGAGCACAGAGCCTCCACGCTGGGCTCTAGGAAATCTACCCTGGCTTTGAAACTGACCTCCGCGGTAGGGTCGGGTGGGGGAGGCACCCCGCTTCAAAGCTGGCGACTGTAATTTCACATTTCCCAGGCTGGGTTACTTGTCAACACCCATTTCTTTTCTATTCAGTCTTTTCAGTCCTTCAGCCTCCTCAACTCCAAAACAATAACTTCAGGAACTGGAAAATGACTGCTCTGATAGGGCACCTAATTCCTTGACATATACCTTAAAGAGGAAAAAAAAAAAAAAGAAAGAAAGAAAAAAAGAAAAGTAGTCCATTTCGAAACACTCAAAATAGAGGAGAAAAGTTCACACGATTCTTTTGACCAAAAATAACACCATGACTCACACACGCTCACTCTAACAATCCATCAAGCTAACGCGTGG